CTCCCGCCGGAAGTCCTTGGAGCGCTCCACCACCCCACCGGACTTGGGCAGCAGGACGGTGCGGACGAAGTGGGGCAGGTCCCTCTTCAGCTCGTTGTAGAGCCGCTCCTGGTCCAGCACCACCACCACGTCCACCTCGAAGGCGGAGGCGGCGTGCACCAGCGCCTGGTAGCCCGAGCCCTTCACCCAGCCGCAGGTGTTGATGAGGCAGCCGCTCACCGAGGCGCGGCGGGTCACCTCGCACCGCTGGGTGGAGACAACGGCCACCACGGCCTCGATTCCCGCAGCTGCAGCACGCTGGCTCCAACCGGGTGAGGAGCTCAGGGGAGCGAGCAGCAGCCCCTGGGCAGCACCAGAAGGGCAGGAGGCCAACGTGCCGGCACTGTCCCGCTCCTCGGGGACACCGCACCCCTCTGGTCCCCCCACGGCCTCGATTCCCGCAGCTGCAGCACGCTGGCTCCAACCGGGTGAGGAGCTCAGGGGAGCGAGCAGCAGCCCCTGGGCAGCACCAGAAGGGCAGGAGGCCAACGTGCCGGCACTGTCCCGCTCCTCGGGGACACCGCACCCCTCTGTACTGTTCCTGCTGTGCTCAGCGGGTTTATTTACTGCTAAGGTGCAGGAGCAACACCTGGCTCCTGGGCAGCTGCCTGGGATGAAATCCTTTCTTCCTCACCCTCAACCAATAACCGCAAAGGGGCAATTTGCCGTGCAGGAGGCTGAAGCCATTCCTAAAACACATTATGAGCACTTCGGGGTTCTCGACTATAGCAGAAGAGCAGCTTTTCTGTGCCATGGGCTGCCAGGACAAGGGCAGCGCAGGGCTGTGGGCGGCCTTCAGCCAAGCAGGGGCACTGTCACCAAACAGCAGCAGCAGGACCCCAGGGATTCGGGTCAATTTTGGGGAGTCTTCAGATTTTTCTTGGGTTTCTTTCCACCCGGGTTTCCATAAACAGAGTGCCAGGCTGTGGGCAGCAGGAAAGGGGGGTCCCTGTGGGGAGGGACGCTCTGTGGTGATGGCCACCACACACTAGCTAACACTGGCTCCGCAGGAGAGCCATCAGATTGTGCCTGCAGACATGCTCCGCTCCCCGCTCACCTCACGAGCTCCACGGGCCAAGTTGGTTCGATGTGACCTGTGGCTCTGGCTTTGCCCTCCGTGGCCAGCCATGGGCCTGGCACAGGGGCTCGTAGGCAGTGAAAAGCTCAATCACAGTCCCTCAGCTCCTCCTCTCCAAGCTGAAGAGCTTCTCCCCTCCTCAGGAGGCTCCTCCAGCCCCTCCACCACCTCCGTTACGCCTCTTCCCTCACCGCCTCAGCCCTCCCCACATCTCTGTTGATCTGCAATGCCCAGAAGCGGGCACAGTGCTCAGGGCAGGAACACAGCACAGTCTTACACAGCAGCAAAGAGGGACAATCCTGGGGGGGCAGGGAGCTCAGGGGTCCGGTTCTGAACCGAGCCCGTCCCTGGGGCCAGACCCTCCCCAGCTCCCCCTTCACTCACCTTGTTGTAGAGCTTGATGTTGGTGCCGGGCGTGGTGGAGCCAAAGTGGTAGACGAGCGGGGCCTGGAGGGAAAAGCCCTCCTCCACGTCAGCCGGCCGCTCAATGTAGAGTGCGCCCATGGTGCCGGGGATGGAAACGGAGCCCTGCCCCACGTCCAGCTCCACGAA